TTATTAATTATGATATTGTATATTTTGATTTAGTTATTTACCTTACATGTTTGTATTTCTTGTCACACAATAAAACAACAATGTCAGAAACTGTTGTTTAAAAAAACAGTTTAGAAAACTCCTAATTAATAAGCAGCCTTTATGCACTTTAAAAATTAATCTGAAATGATATTAAAACATTACAAATGATGTAAAAAGTATCATATTCATAAGATAAACTGATGCAGTTTAAGTTATAATTAACTGAAAGTGAAATAACATAGAAATTATAAAATAATTATAATTTTATGAAATCTTAGAATAGTTAATTCCATGCGAAATATTATAAGCCTCTTAGAACAGTTTTAAGTTCCTGTGAACAGATGTGAACAGATACGAACAGATGTAAAGTTTATATCCTTAAAATGGTCCTTCTCATGCACCAACTCCCAGAGCTTCACTGGCAGACCAAGAAGAAGATAGGAAAGATGTCCCACTTTGTGATCTTCGTCTACATCCAGGCTTGGTTCGCCGCCCCTTCACTCTTTACAGCAGCTTCGAACGATCTACTGCTCTACAAACGGCAGATCAAGTTCAGATCGATCCACAAGAAGATATTTATTGCCACTTCCACGGTGTTCCTTCGTCACCCGTGGTACCTAACAGAAGAATCGATAGTCTTCTCTCTCTTCAACGAGGACCTTCCTATGGAAACGAGAAACATGCTAGCGTCCAGGATTGGAGAACTAGACTCAGAAGACCTGGAGATCCGGAAGCCAACCTTACCGTCCTTCTCTGCAAAGTCAGTCAACACAGAATTTGTTGGAGATAGATCCAGACTTCTCTTTGATCTTCTTGGCATTCAGACCGGCTTCTTGCTTTCTCCTGACTGGCAGATGACTTCTGAGAACGACACTGTGAAGACAGCCTTGAAGAACCTGTCACCTCTAAATGACTCATCTGAGCAGGCTCTGGCTCTGGCAATCCGCCTCAACACGAACATCACAAGAGACGAGGAGTCATACCAGGAACTGGTGCAAGTCGTAGAAGCTCATCGAAAGTAAGTAAGTGTGCCTAGCTAGATTACCAAATTGCCTGTTAGGCAATCTAACCAGGTACTTTCGTTTTGGATCCGAACAAGGATGTGGACTGTGGAGGAGCCCTTGTTTCTCAGTCATCTGGTTGCTACCTCGCAGCACCGGAAACTTTTAAGTTTTCCATCATCAATTGAACAATTATCAACGATGAAGTCAATTAAGGGGGGGGGGGGGGGGGGGGTTCACCCTGATTTTTTTGTGAAACTTGGTTCCGAGATAGCAGTTGACCAACAAACTAGGACCAGTGACCAAACTTTTGAGGGGGTCCCGGACCCCAACCGCCAAACGGTGCCCGCGGGGCAGCCACGCCCATATTTGGTCCAAATTAGGCCCAATTTAGCCAAATGCCCTGGACATGCCCAAAATCAAGATTTCAGGTGCTTTAATTGTAGCTAATGGTCCCCTGAACTCGTATATGAATTTTCATCAAGATTGGACAAAACATGACTGAGTTATGAGCCAAAAACCATATGACCATATTTGGGCATACGCACCAAATTTGATCGATTTTGGCCCATAAATTGGTCAAAACTCAAATATCAATATTTTTGAATGAAACCAACTTTATATGGAAGGTAAGCCTATACTACACATTATCTATGATTATCAGCTCAGTATCTACCTAACTGTGGATTCTGTGTTCAAATAATCGCAAAAAATGAACAAAATTGCCCATATCTCAGTTCGTGATATTTGCAAAACTGACTTCGCTCAAAACAATAGAACTCAATAGGGTTTCAATATTTTTTTCATGAAATTTTCAGAATTAACGTAGAATAATTGTCTCATGACCTTAAGTTTTGGTACAGAATTTTGAATTAGGCTTTTAAAAAAATTTGGCGGCCAAATTCTAAATACGGCCTCGCTAAATGGAGAAAGTCCCAACCAAAATCAGTTGAAGTTTTAAAAAAGGACTCCCCTGATCTACCAGCTGTTGTGAAGGAAAGCAAGCTGATGTCCCATGAATATAATATTTACTGGCACAGCGTGAGCGCAAAGAATCCTAGTTTCCGGAACAACGTGATAATATCTGTGTTTTTAATGGTGTCAGCAACTTTATACGTCATGTGGAGGGAGAGTGGTTATCAAAAATCTCAGGGGGACATCAATAGTTCAATAACTGATCTTTAGGGTTTAATTTGTTGTGTGTAAATTATTATGTACTTTTTTATTTTGATCTGTCATAATATGAGAACCAGTTTTAGCTTTTTTCGTGCATCTAGTTCTACCTGGAAATCAATTTTTTACACTACTGTATACTTTTTGAAACGATGTTTGGGCAATGACTGTTAAAAAACTCCTTTAAAAAATAATTATATTATTCTTCTTGTTGCACTTATATATATTACTTGTGACGCACTATGCTGGATAATCAAACGGCTTTAAAGTAAAAGATTTTGCTAGACAGACTTATGTCAGACTCAGAAAGAAAGAGCGAAGAATCTTATTTGAATGACACCCCTATTCTTACCTCGACTCACTGGATACCGGGCACGTTAACGCTGGTACGTTGCATTACTATTTATTATTACTAGCAGGAACCCGTGAAATATAGCCCTAAACGGTGTCAAGACTCAAGATACTGAAATAATTATTACCTATTTAATTGGCGTTTTTGACACCACTTGGGGGTCCAAATTTTCGGCTCTAAAATCATTATTCCTCGGCCAATTTTTTATTTTTTCATGCTGATTTGGAGGATATTAAAGCATTTGACCCAGCCAAAAAAGTTTCAGTTGTATATCTTTTACGGTTTTTGCAGAAAGTTGCGTTAAAGTCGATGCCGTGGTGTCAGTAAAATGGCACAGATATATATATATATATATATATATATCGTCTCGCTTTATATATAGTAAGATATCCACCAGCGGGCTATATTTTGTCATCTGAGCACTCGCAGCCCGATGTTACAAGACACAGTGCGCGTCCAGCCCGCTTAAAATACAGCACGCGAGCAGACGACACTTAACGTGACAAGTAACAATACAGCCAATATAGCCCGCATGAAATTTGTCCAGTAGCGATATATTTTTGTGTCCGGTAGGGCTGATGATACATCTCGTGAGCAGATGATATGAAATCTAAACACTGAACAGTGTTATTGATCCACACTTACACATTACACAGTACACTTTAATAGTTCCCACGGCAATATGTGGATGTAAAGAATGTATCAACTCTGAACTCTGAGCTCACCTTATATCACGCAGGTTGCCATGATTGGCTCATAATTAACACGTGACACACTGTTACTATGGTTACCAAATTCGTGGAGACGTTAAGTCTAAGCCGGTGATATTTTTCAGTATCGATAATTGTTTTGTGTTTACCATTTTCAGTTCACTATTTCAGTTGATAAACCTTGAAATTTAGGCCGACATTTTACGTGTTATTCTATTGTGTTCCCGAAAGATATTTTGCCCTGTTTTTGTTTTGAAACTGCCATTTAAATTGATGTTATAAATTTGATCTTTAACTTTCATATTCAATGTCCATGATCAGACTGTGATCTCGAGCTCTCTGGGTTACTACTTTTGATTGTCCAGTCACTCAGTAGCTGCTACAGAAACTCTAGTAACTGGTTACCCGGGTAACCCTGGTTACCCCATGGTAACTGATAATGACGTGACAACTCACGTGGTAGTAGCAGCTGCTCTGTGGCGACTGGCGGTGCTTGTTCTGGTTCCAGGGAGGGAGAGAGGTAGAGAAGTAGAGAGGGAGAGAAAGAGAGGGAGAGGAGGAGAGAGGGAGATGAGGAGAGAGGGAGATAAAGAGAGAGTGATAGAGGGAGAGAGGGAGGTAAGGAGAGTGGGAGAAGGAGAAAGGAAGATAGGGAGAGAGTTAGAGAGTGAGAGAGGGTGAGAAGGAGATAAGGAGATGAGGGAGAGAGGGAGAGAGGGCCTATATTTTGATCGTTTACAATAAAATTATATGTACATGAAACAATGAGCTGAAACATTGTTTGATAGCGGCCGGTTTTTCGTTCTATAGTCAGTAATTTTGGCCTGTTCTACATCTTAAACTAAAAGCAACATGATTTTCTCGTAAAATTTCTGAAATCTTGTACATTAATTTGCTGTGATTGTTGGAAAAAAAAAATATCCACAAGTGGGCGTGATACAGATAAACGCCCACTTGTGGATATTGCATTGTTGATATATTTACATTTATAAAACTTAGTAAATGATCATCTAATTAGTGGCATTACAACTACACTTGAGAAGCGCCCGCTCATGGATATACACGATATCATTCCTCGCCATGAGGGCGGAACTATCGTATTGCACTCGGGCCCGTTGGGCCCTCCGTGCTATACGAAAATATCTCCGCCTCGGGCTGTCGCCCTCGTGGAGATATAAAATATAGCACGCGCACGCGCGTGCAATATTTAGTACCGCCCTCAAGGCTGCGGTGATATCTATATATATCATTATTATTACATTATTACTGTCTATTCATAGTGAAATTATAAAATTATGCCTCTATAATCCCACAATCCTGACACCAATAACGTTTTATAATACTCTTCTTCTCGACAGTTGATCTGAGTAAAGATAACGGGGAGGAAGAAGGAGAGTTCCTGGATGAGGAGTGGGGGGATGATCAGTGGGACGATCTGGACGACGACCCGGACAACGAGGCTCTTGAGGACGACGACCGGGACGACAAATATTCCGGTTAGAAGACCAAATATTCGTTGTATTAATCTCTGTCGTGAAGTGAAAAAGTGTTGTTTTATCGACTTCATACAGGTTGGCCCAGAAGTAACTGCTCAGTGCTCTCACGCAACATCTTACATTTTCTGAAAGTTTCGTAACATTTTAGAAATTAAAGTAGATGTGCAGTGGCACGACACTCCCTCTTTTTACCGTTGTCGTCATACAATGAGAATGCTTCGAGTTAAGAAATCACAATTTTCTAGACACGTTTGGATTAATAATTGAACAATTTTCCCTCAGCTTTCATAACAGTTTCCAATTCTTGAACTAAAATAAGCTCCTTTCTGGGAAAGCTGCTTCAGTTAGCCTAAACGGCAAATGGTTCGGTTTAAAGTTAGAAAGCTGTTCCCTGGCTCATTCTCACAAACTCATGCTGTTGGTATGAATTGAAACACAATCAATATTGACCTCCCCGCTCATATGGCGCAAAGTTTCCGTTCATAAATAAATAATAATTAACTAATTGGGGTAATTAAACATTACAAAATTTGAAAAAACGAGGGGTTCATAAGAAATATAGAATACATTACTCAATAGAAAAATTCTCTAAATTCTCTCTTAAAAGGTGCAAAACATTTTAACACAAATATCCATTTCCATGAACCACAATTTGTAAACATAAGATTAAATATCAGATATCGGTAAATTTTAACTGATGCTCAAAGATTTATTCAACATTTAAATGAACGTGAAAAATATGCTTTTTTAACTATAAAACCGAAGCTTGAAAACATTTAGATATACCGATTCTAATCAACTTTTTACTTTGCATTCGAGATAATTTCGTTCTACACTGTGTAGTAAGAGGCATACTTAATATGAGGAGCATCATAATTGATAGAATAGATTTCGCAGATAGTCTAACGGTTTTTTATAATACATCACGATATTTATATGTTAGTGTTGAAATGTTTACTGTTTTTGATAGTTCCGATCGCCTACCGTCTTTGGCTGGGTTAATGAGATTTGTGTCTGCTCATGGTTTCCTTCTGAGATGTCTGGGATAGTGAGATTTGTGTCTAGTTTCCTTCTGAAATGGCTGGGATAGTGAGATTTGTTCCTAGTTTCCCTCTGAGATGGCTGGGATAGTGAGATTTGTTCCTGGTTTCCTTCTGAGATGGCTGGGATAGTGAGATTTGTTCCTAGTTTCCTTCTGAGATGGCTGGGATAGTGAGATTTGTTCCTAGTTTCCTTCTGAGATGGCTGGGATAGTGAGATTTGTTCCTAGTTTCCTTCTGAGATGGCTGGGATAGTGAGATTTGTTCCTAGTTTCCTTCTGAGATGGCTGGGATAGTGAGATTTGTTCCTAGTTTCCCTCTGAGATGGCTGGGATAGTGAGATTTGTTCCTAGTTTCCTTCTGAGATGGCTGGGATAGTGTGATTTGTTCCTAGTTTCCTTCTGAGATGGCTGGGATAGTGAGATTTGTTCCTGGTTTCCTTCTGAGATGGCTGGGATAGTGAGATTTGTTCCTAGTTTCCTTCTGAGATGGCTGGGATAGTGAGATTTGTTCCTAGTTTCCTTCTGAGATGGCTGGGATAGTGAGATTTGTTCCTAGTTTCCTTCTGAGATGGCTGGGATAGTGAGATTTGTTCCTAGTTTCCTTCTGAGATGGCTGGGATAGTGAGATTTGTTCCTAGTTTCCCTCTGAGATTGCTGGGATAGTGAGATTTGTTCCTAGTTTCCTTCTGAGATGGCTGGGATAGTGTGATTTGTTCCTAGTTTCCTTCTGAGATGGCTGGGATAGTGTGATTTGTTCCTAGTTTCCTTCTGAGATGGCTGGGATAGTGAGATTTGTTCCTGGTTTCCTTCTGAGATGGCTGGGATAGTGAGATTTGTTCCTGGTTTCCCTCTGAGATGGCTGGGATAGTGAGATTTGTGTCTGTTCATAGTTTCAGATATTATTGTCTCCTGCAGAGGCTCTGAAAAATTCAAATTCAAGTCGTATATTTTTAACGGTAGAGTAAAATATTAAATCCCGGGTTCAATGAAACATGTTAAAACATACACAATGGAATTCATGATATATAATATTTATATCAGACATAGGAGTTCACTTTCCCTTACGTCATTATGTTTCAAAACTCACTTAGATTGAATGAATCTTTTTCTTTTAAAGCTGAGGCTGATTAGTGAGATAAGGATTTGAGATGGTCTGATTGTTGGAACTCTGTCTTGGCTCTCCAACAGCTGCTCTGAGGCAAAGGTTGAAATATTAAGTCACTATCTTGGTACTTACATAATACATACTTTTGTAGCAAAATCACTTAAATCTTAAAATGTTGCGAGAAACGGCCATTCAAAAGTTTGTTTTCTTGGGTATTTTAATACTTTTAACACTACTATATTACAAAAAATTTGAAATCATGAATAATTCGTTTCCTGATAAGAGCCTTTTTCTTGTCGCATCAAACGGGATCAATAGAAATTTACCCAAGAAAACATTTCAACTATGCGACTCATAAATAATATTCCAATCCGGATTTTACATTAAATAGTTTATTTGATTAATAACTCATTACTCACCTACTTCAAGGTTTCACTTTGTTTAGTTGGTTTACTTTACGAGTTTCTTACTGTTACTCAAACATTTTATCGTCGTCCGCCCCTTAACGTCTTACTGGTCTGAATTCTGAAATAATCAGTTATCACTACCAATACTATTTATAATACTAGAACGAATGCAATGATTTTTGCAATGTTTTTTTTTTTCGATATGTTGTTGTTACATACAATTATCAAGATAATGATCATATACATCTGTAAAGTGCAAACTTACGTTAAAACCGTGTCGGTACTCGAAAGGATAGAGCTGATTTCTCGTGGTTCAGTTTGGGTACCGTGCACTACTGACTTCAACCGTAAAACTAAAAGGAGAAGTTGTCATTGTGGATCATATATTTACATATTATCATAATACAGTAAAGTAAATTTAGGCCAGATGAAATTTACAATTATTGTACTAGAAGTACGAGTACGACTCATTAGAAAACATGATATTAAAATTTCATTTGAATGACCTGATCACGGAGAAGATAAGGAAATGGTTCATCTATAATGAGTTCTCTCAATTTATCTTGCCTGCCAACATGCTGGCTGCTTCTCTGAAATGATAAATAATGATACTGAGTCTATAACAAGTCTTATGTACCGTCACAATAGTGATTTTAATATTAGTTGATCATTATCTGGCTAATCAAGTTAAATGTTTGATTGGATCCTGACGAATATAATTCTTTGTTGATCTTAGTCGATTGTTGTTGTCTCATTTAAATTATTATATTTACCTTCCTTAGGTGTGTGTTACTTTCCACCCACTAGTAAACTTTTTGTCCTTCGTCTCACGCGGTTATGTGCACATCAGTCGAAATGCACCGGTCAAAATTTTCATGGAAACAAGCGTCCAACTTTTTTCTCCCGTTTTTAGTTCGTCCAGATAATAATATATTGATTTAAAAGTGATGAATAAATGAAAGATATTTTTTGTCACAACTTTTTGTGGGAGAAAACTGTCTCCTCATTTGAATCGCTCTAATGGACAAATCGCTTTAAGGACAAAGTAAAAATTCGACCGGTGCATTTCGACTGATGTGCACACATCCGTGTCTTGGTTCTTCGAGAAATTTCCTGGGGATTGGAAATTATTTATCACTACTAGATTGCTAGAATCTATAAATTTAAAAATTTGTTGTTTTAAAACAGAAACATCGTTTAAATTCGTGATCATTGAATAAGAGAGATTATTGCAAAGAAAGTTAAATCATAAAAGATTTCGAAATGATTGTCAGAACTCCCTGTGCAGTGGTTCCTGTCTGCTGTCGTTCGCAGCTTCAAAATCTTCAAAATTGACAAGTACGAGTAAAATTGTAACCACCAACTGCTCTGAAACATGAAGATATCGAATATTCAGTCAAGTTGTAAAAAGCCTATGCATATGGTGGTAAATTTAGTTTATGTTACAGTATTTGAAGGACTTATTATGATAGTAACAGTATGATAATAAGCATGAACATTTAATTTACGAAATTTAACATTAAATTGCATGGTCTAAAAAGATTGAGACTGAACCTTTGATAAATGAAATATTAACCTCATAGATGGAAGTAATTTAGGGCGATATCAAGGTAATTTCTTAGTGGTTCGTTGTTCTGACTGCTTCTGGATGTATGCACTATACAGGCCTCGTTTCTCTGAAAGTGTAACTTTAATAAGTCAATAATGCAACCACTAACATATTATCAACAGTAAAACCTTATTATAGTCAGACGTGAGATTTAATACTTAATACTGCACTATGTTATGTGAATGAATGATTTGATAATCCAGTTCAAAATCATAATTTGTTAATTCCAATCACGCGTTGTTATCTCATTTATTGAATAAACTGATGTATATACTGGACGTAAAATCTTGTTATTGCCTATGGTACCACTATGACCCCACTTTTTATAAGAGAAAAAACTGAAATACTTAATCCTAATCTATTGTGGAGGGGTGATCGTTCATCAGGTTGGTCTCTGCGCACTTTTGCCTGCTTCATTACAAAGTTCTACTTCTATACCTGAATTAAAGTTTTAACTACAAATATAAACCGAGGTTATCCTTAAAAGCTTAAAGCCTGCGAGATAGATATTGAAAGTGTTAGATAATAAAATAATAAAGCAGGTATGTATATGACACGTATACTTGTTGTATTTTATTTGATATCTGAGTTAACCTGGGGACCACAGGCTTTATTGTTTGTTTACGATCGAAGATATGGCGGAGTGACAGGCTGACTGCCGCCCAGTAAGGTTCGCGTTCGCAAAAGGAATATGCAACTTTTAGCTGGCGCGGCGGCGCGAATGCTTCGCTTGCACAAGAGAGACATACAACACGTAGCAAAGAGGTCCATGACAACTTGCAATAAGTATAGGGTTGCATAGAAATATAAATAATGATCATAATCAATATTATGGAATATAATAATTTAATATGAGACTATTCACATTAGAAATGCGGCTGCATTTCTTGTCAGAAGTGTGTGTAATCCTTTCAAACCACATTAGTCGCTAAACACTTAAACAAGCGGCCTATTGATAATTGATGTGGTATCTCCTTGAAATTATCCTATTTTAGAATATACCTAGGCTTAGACAAAAAGGTTCTTTAAAGTAAGTGAAGACGGTCCCCACTGTGCACGTCACTTCACTGCTCCCTCTGTTGAGAGCTCCAGAGTCAGAACAAGTCACTTTCACGACGGTTCCTGGGTCTACTGGAAACTTAGCTGCTGTCTCAATAGTGCTTGTCCACTCAGCTTTCAGTCCAGTACATAACCCTTGATAATATAAATAGGTCCATATATTTTATATTCCTCAAATAGGGCTCGATTATATCGATTAAAAAGAAAATATCCATAAATTCGTATCGTATATAAGGTTCACAGGTATGTGATATACGTATGTGATATACGTATATATACGTATTGAAATAAAAATTTAACTTAATAGCATTTAAAATATTTCAAATCTTCAAAATACACAGCTACCTGGTTGAGGCTGGTAGTAGTCAGATGCAGAGTCAGAGGATTGGAACCGTATCTTTGCAACTTCTCCGCTCCAGTTTGTGCTCCAGTCACTCCGACTACACGTTGAGTCAGACATCAGGATGTTGAGCACCTCCACCTCGTTACAGTGTACCACTAGTCTGATACCTGAGGTTCTAGTTAAGGTTACCCTCAATACCTTCTTTGTAGCAGGAGGCAGGTTAGTGTGGAAGCTGTAGTAGTACGAGTTGCAGTACCCGATATTGTACTGAGGATAAGAGGAGAAGCGGAGGTAGAGTCTTCCTACTATCATGTATCCCTGTGAGGGGTAGAGCTCCACTCTCACGGCATCCTTACTCCCTAGCGTACTATCAGTCGTTATGTTGAGAGAATACTTCTCCAGATTAAAGTCGATATACACATTGCGTTGTACTGCTATCCAGCCTGAGGGTGCTGACCACGTGAATATTTAATAGCAGTTTACAGTACACATCAGCTGGTAGACATTATGAGCAAAATATTATGTAATAGTGCAAATTTATACTCGATGACCAATGCAATGACAATTGCATTATATTTACTACTGTTATACGTCATGATAAATTGGTTCAATATATTAAGCTCATAATGACTAAATGACTACAATATAGTTTCAAAAATGTTATCGTGCTGATACAGTGCTACAAATGAAATATTTGTGAAAATATTTGATCGTAGTGATCTTACCTTCATTGAGATTCTCAGCAGTATTCTCAATGACGAGAAAAGACATCAGCAAGATTAACAGCATTGTTGTATACTATTGTTCTTGATTCACTAATAATACAACTATATTACAATAAGATAATACGTCGGAAACCTATGCTAAATACTACGCAAGAGTTTAAAAAGGGTCACATTTTGCAGTAAATAACGACGATAATCATTTTAAGAGCAATGTAACGGAATTGTCGTTTTTGTTCATACTGCACTTAAGTCGGTTCTAATTATTTCAGCAACAATTTATAGAAAAAATTGAGAAAAACTGCAGTTCTAAGCAAGCTCACATAATATCATGATATAAGGGGACAGTAATCCAACTGCATCATAATCTTACTATATATAAAGGCATTTTACTGACACCACGGCATCAACTTTAACACGGCTTTCCGCAAAAACCGTAAAAGATATACAACTTAAATTTTTTTGACTGATTCAAATGCTTTAATGGCCTTCAAAGCAGCATCAAAAATAAAAATAGGCCAAGGAATAAGAACTTTAGTTCCCAAAATTTGGACCTATGTGGTGTCAAACACGCGAATTAAATAGGTAATAATTATTTTAGTCTCTTGAGTCTTAAAACCATTTAAGGGTTGGATGGGTTAAAAGCGTTTTTTAAATTTAGTCATTTTAACACTTTTTATTCAAAAAGATTTAAAAAACCGTCAAAATGACTAAATTAAAAAATCGCTTTTTAAGCGCCTTTTAAGCGATTTATAAAATTATAAACAGCTAAATTGCAACCAACTTATAAGCGCTATAATCGCTTATTAATGGTTCAATAAGCGCTTTAAAATCTTGACTCCGCTAGTGCACCCCAGGTGAATGGATGTTCAGAAAAGCTCTTATAAGCGTTTTCTAATTCTGGGCACTCCCCCGTTCCAACCAGGTTGAGGGGCATTGAGAAAGCACTTAAAAGCGCTTTCTATTTCCTATGGGGGGGTTTCCTCCCTCTTTTACAATGTAATATGCAACATGAAAATAGTACATAAAATTACAATTTTAAGTTCGTTATAAACTAAAAGTTGCACTGTGCAGTATGAATTTGTATATATGACAAAGCTCTTTCAGTATAAAATAGCATCAAGAGAATATGTGCACCAAACACTGACCTTACATAATATGTGTTTAACTCTACAAAACTGCTTATAACACAAGCTCGGTATGTGATAATTTGCCTTCAAAATCAAACCTCGTTATAATGCAGATCTTGCTATAATGCGGTTTTTTGGGCTAAATTCTTTCCTCCCTCGATGCGTGTTATAACTTATAACGAGGTAAGCTATACTGTTATAATACTTATTCAAATTGAAACGTATCATTATTTTAATTTATCCTTTCCTTTTAGGGCTAACCAAAGCAAAGTCGTAATAATGATCACTGTCGTTTTCATGTGTTGGCTTCTGATATATCTAATTTTCTTATGTATGTTATTTATTAGGACTGATAGAGCGATAAATCAAATATAACAACAAAAATATTTGTACCTTAAATATTTAATGTGACAAAAATATTTTATTAATGTTTGATTATCTCAGCGGACTTCGAAGACCTCGAAGACAAAAATATTTGACAGA